GTATCTCTCCTCTCCTCTGTGTGTGTCTGTCTCTCTCTTTCTCTCTCTCTCTCTCTCTCTCTGTGTCTATCTGCCTCTTCTCTCTTGGAAAGCTGAGGCTGGGTCAACCCCCCCCCCCAAGCTCTCCTTGGGGTTCTTCACTATTCCTTTCTTCTTGGCAACTTTTTGAAAATCCAGGTTGGTTGAGGAACATCAGCTTCCCCGAAGACAACCCTCGCCCTCCTTCTCTCGTGACTCCCTGGCCAGTTGTGGCAGGGTGCGCACGAGTCAGAAGACCCTCAAGCAATCGTCCGGTTCAGCCAAAGTGCAGCAAAAGTGGGCAGGGCAGGTGGGTTGATCAGCTGCCAGGCGAGCATCTTTGGCAAGGGTGCTCCAGCTTTTTCTAAGCCTGGCCCCTGGGGTGGGTGTGTGAGGTTTGGCGGGGCCAGCCCCCTTTTCCCACTGCCCCAAGTTTCTTTAGTCTCCAGCGGAATGGTGCCACCAGAGGATTTGATTGAAAAGTGTCCTCCGGGCAGCAAAAAGTCCCCTGTGCAAGTTTTAAAGCTGCAGCTAGGCACTGTGGGCCCATCCACTTTCCCATCGTCCCCACCTCCCTGATCCCATTCCCACCAAGCCAGACCTCATGTTAGCGAGGCTGGCATCAGTTGTGGCTGGACTGGCCCAGTGTCTTGGGTTGGAGAGCTGATTGCATGTCTCCCCAAGTGACTAAGACACACCCAGCACCAACAAGGGCCAGAAGACACACCAGCAAGAGATGAGGCACCAAAGAATCAGCCCGGGCGTTGCCCTTACCTTCTCAGGCCAGGCAAGGAGTGACTGGGAGGGGAGGGTGAGGGGCATGGTGAGTCAGTGATGGGTTCAGCTGACAGGGAGCCACAGCAGAGGTCCCAAAGAGCCACATATTGCTGACACCTGGTCTAGAAACTTGTCAAGACTATTTCCTGAGAACTCTTTTCTGCCTTTGCTCACATTTACCATCATGTTGTTCAGCCTCTCTCCAACTTACTTTCACACACGCAACAGCATTACTGTTACTAGAGTGTTAAAATGTTATCTTGCCCAATCTCCTTATGCAAAAGAACTTTCTATTAGTAGAAATAAAGTTGACATATTCAGTTGCACTGAAGGTGATAATGTTTAGCTTGAGAAACTTGAGCAAATCGACTGTGTACAACACAAGAATGCTAATAAAATTGGTAGTGTCGTGATGCAGTGTACTTCTTTGTCTGCTCTGATAACCAAATACATTAGAAATTCAACTATATAAAAGATGAAAAAATGCTTTCGCACAGAACATGAGCAAAAAATCTGTTAAGCAATATAGTGCTTAACAACACTCTAAATTAGCAAAATTTTCAAAGTTAATGGGTTAAACATTTAATGTCATATTACATAACTTTCTTTTCCCCAGTAGTTCAATGTCTTGCTAAATGTGAATTTGGCTAATCAAACCCTAGCATAAAATGAAAGAATTAAATGAAAACAGAGTGGATGGAGCAAAACAATAAAATCCAAATAAGTTATGGCTTAATAAGTTATCCTCAGACAGATAAAAAATGAATTTAAGAAATAATAGACAATGTATAATGCACTGCATAAGAGACATGGTAGCTCAGTGGCTTACTGATAATGGAGATAGTCTTTGCTCCAATAGTTGAGTCCTAGCACTGCATGGCAGGGCAAAAAGACATGGGGTGGTATAGTTACTATTATTTGTGTAACCTAGATTTATTTATTGCGGAAGTTTTTTGACTGCTATTTCCTACTGAGAAATAATAGGCAAAAAACCCTGATTTTTACAAAGATTGCTTCTCTCCAAACTGATTATGGATATGTTTCTAAGTAAACCCAGAAAAGTGCTGGTTAGGAAAGAATACTATCACTCAATGCAAAAAGTCTCCATGCTTTTCTAACACATCACTGAGCACCTAAAATATCAGGATGTTGGAGATGTTATTTCCCTGGTCTCTAAAGTCAGTCAGAGATGGTATGTAAAAGCAGAGAAACACTGAATGTTGTATCCTACTGATTAGACAGGAAGCAAGCACATCTCCTCATTAAACAGGAAAAAAATATGAAATAGTGAGATTTCTATGTAGTAATTTTATTACAGGTATGCAAAATGCTTTGAGTGATTTTTTTTTAAACCAAAGCATGAGACTGCTGTTCTAATAATTACAGAGATGCAATGAAATTCAAAGACTGTCTCGAGTTTAGAGCTGCTCTGTTTTAAGTTTGAAATGCTTCTAGCAATAGCACTTACACTTATATACTGCTTCATGGTGCTTTACAGCAGTCTGTAAGTGGCTGACAGAGTCAGTATATTGCCTCCCAACAATCTGAGTTCTGACTTTACCCATCTTGGAAGGATGGAAGCCTGAGTCAACCTTTAGCAGGTGAGAATCAAACTGTCAAATTGCAGGCAACTGGCAGGCAGCAAAAGTATCCTGCAGTACTGCATTCTAACCACTGCACCACCACAGCTCTCTTCTAGAATGTACTAGGTTCAAGGCCACACTTTACCACAAAATTCCTTGGATAATTTGGCAGCAGTCTCTGTAAGCTCATCTTATTTCTCAGTGTTGTCACAAGGAGGATAAAATAAGGAAAACCTCTTCCTCCCTCCCAGCAAATCATCTTTCTCAGAAATAGCTGACATTGCTATAATACCAGATGCAGTGAAACAGACCTCTCCATTCCTGCTCTGGCTTCTCCCTGTTTGTGGGCTCCGATAGAAGCCTAAGTCTCCCTGGAGGGGAGGCAAAGCTAAGGAGGCGTGCTGTGTAAGGCCACAGGAGAGATCGCAATCTCCTGTTGAGTTCAGGAGATTTTCCCTCTACACCACAACAAAGAGAAGAGACAGCCAAGATGACCACCATGAAATTGGGATCGTCGTGGAACATCCAAGAATAGTGCTGGAGCAAAGTTGGTGAACAGAGACTGTCTTGCTGGTGAGATAATTCTTCTTATTTGAAAAGTTACCCCCAGGGGGGTGAGGGAATCCTAAAAGAGATTCTAAAAATAACTCTGTCAGCGGAAAATAATTTTAAAGAGACTTAAGCTGAAAAGTAAGTTGAGAGCACCATCTACTGACCAAAGGAAAAGTGACTCCTAAACTCCTGAAAATTTAACATGGGGAGTCTAGAATAAAAGACTTAACAAAAAAGAGATAGATGAAGATAAAGATGAGGAGTGTAGGAGGCTAATTAAAAAATGGGTAAGAAGAGGTGATGGATAGGAAATTGCCCTTTAAATATTAAAGTAGCCTGATTACAAGTTAGAGAGGCAGAAATAAAATTAGATAGGGGAAATATTAGAACATAAATTGTTTATAGAATGAATAAAAATAGAAAGATTATAAGTATATAGATGTTAGACAGTTTATGTGCTTCAGATTAACAATGTTAGCGTGAACTGGATCAATATGAATGGAAATTAGTTACATTTGTTTAGATAGAATAGAGAAATGTTTATTGAACAAGGAAGTTTATATAGAACAAGGAAGATACAGATGAAAATAAAGATGGAGGAGCTAGGTTTTTTTTTTAGCTTATGTATATATTAGATTATATAAATTTGATTGTGTTAGAGATTAATAATATTAGCATGAATTGGATTAATATAAATGATACGAAGTTAAACTTCTTCATTCTGTTATTGTCAATATGAAAAAATGGATAAAAATTGAAATACAAAAAAGGGAAATATATGCTAAAATAATATAAGGTTTACATAAATTTGATAAACCTGAGACTATTAACAATGTTAGAGTGAATTGGATCAATATGGAATGAAATGTAGTTAAATGTGTTTATATATAATAGAGAAATGTTTAGATTGAATAAGAAAGATATAGATGAAGATAAAAATAAAAATAAATATGTGGAGTTAGGCATTTTTTACTTATACTTGAAAAACCTAATGATTTAAATTGGATAAATGTGATAGAGATTACTAATACTGTTAATGTGATTTTGATTAATATGAATGATACCCAGAACCAACTCTGTTCACACGCAATACGGGTGTATAATTAAAAAATAAAAAATATATTTAAAAAAAATCTTTTTCAGAAATAAAGACAGGACATCAATGCAAAATGTTGAACAAAATGCAGGAAAAAGCACCTGTTTTGTTATCTGCAGCCTAATAAAGTGGACTTCAAGAAACTCATATGCAAATTACTTCTTTGAAAAGTATCATAGAAATGTAAAATGTGTATAGTTGCCCACATGCACAGTTCAGTGATTATTTACTGTACTTTAGTACCAGCTATTCCAGTAATCTTCAGATTCTCCCCCCCTTCATTCTTTTTCAAATGAGCATTCTGGGCCTGGTGTTGCTAGCTAGTGCATTCATCGAGGCCAGTTCCACCCATCGAAGGCTAATTATTGCACAGTGACCAGCAGGAGCCAGCCTCCTCACTAACCCAAATGTGGTTTGTTTGTTTTTCAAGACGCAACTGGACTTGCTGTCTTTTTCTTCAAAGACATTTCACTTTTCACCCAAGCTTCTTCAGCTTTGAAGAGCTGAAGACGCTTCTTGGATGAAAAGTGAAACCTCTTTAAAAAAAATAAAAAAATCCAGCAAGTCTAGTTGCCTCTTAAAGAAAAAAAGCACCTTTGGGACAACCATGAGCTAAATGACTTGAGAATTTCCATAGACATCTTCAATGACCCGATCTAAAAACTCTTGGAAGGGGTACCCTGAGGATCTTCCGCATCACCTTTCCTCCACTCCTACCCTCTTAAGAACCAGCTCTCCTCTCCGACCCTTTCCAGCCTTCTGGGACTTCTCCTCCACCATCCCAAGCCAGCGTGTCCATTATTCTTAGACGGAAGACGCCCAGCGACCCACCAAGAAGCACACGCATTTACCCTCTCTCCCCAACTTCTATCCACATTTTAAATCCAAAATTTCCTTCCCTACCAACTCGAAGGGCCACCCTAACAACGGAGGCTATCTCTTAGCAATGTGGCAACGGCCATGCAGAAGCTCACCTCATTATTGAGGTTCAAAACCTGCGCCATGGTTGCCGCTCCGAAGTCTTCACTAAGAACGCACCGGCCTCTCACAAGAACAACTTCTTCCCTCTGCACGCTTCCGCCCAGCACCGCAAACGAAACAACGCGCCTGCGCCGTTTTCACCCGCTCGGCTTCCGGGCGACGCTCTAGCTTTATCTTTACGGTTACGAAGAAAGTAACACGCCTCTAAATATCTATGGTAGAGGTCTCCAAACTTGGCAACTTTAAGACTTGTGGACTTCAACTCCCAGAATTCTCCAGTCACCTATGCTGGTCTGTGGAGATTCTCAGTCATCCCAGTCATGGTTGTCCCAAAAGTGCTTTTTCAAGAGGCAACTGGATTTTTGAAAAAGCACCTTTGAGGTAACGTGTCTCTACTACGAGGATTTGCCCGGAACGTTGAATAGAAGGCGCATTTGAAATATTTTTTATATTAAAAATCATAATTTAAGAGAGGTATTGGAACCAAACTATGATCAGTTGAACTACGATTTATTTAGGTAGCGGAGATAGCAGCATCCTATCCCGTTTTAGTGTCTTTTTGGAAATGCAGTTTGAGTTATTCCTTACATGGATTTTATGAAGTTAAGTGAACGTTGCCCACTTATGGTACAGTCGAACTCTGGAAGCGGTTCGACCTTGAGTTCTTTTGGGCTTATTCTAGGCAAGATGAAGTCATTGGATTACACTGAGCAAGACACTTTGAGAAATAAAAATACTTTTTTAAAAACAAACAATGAAAAACCAGAGTTACTGTGGTTTTGTTTTTGATCCTATTATGCAAAAATTTGGACTGCTTTTCTCCCTATTTAAAAAAATTATTTAGAATACGGAATTTATGATCTTGTGGAGTCACAAAAACCTCACTATTTTTGCTTTGCCTCTCAAAAGAGTTAATCATTCTCTGGGAGCTATTCCAACTGGGATTGGGATTGACTAAGAGGTTTTGCCCAATTTTTAAAATGAAATCAGTTGTATGCACTGGTTTGACCTGCAAACGAAAGCTGAACATTCATTATTTATTCTATATGTTCACTTTATCATTGTTCATTTCACTAATACTCCTTTTCTTACTTCATTATTTTTAAACTGAACCAACCACATGTTACTGATGCAAGAATATAATAGAAATACAATAGTCTTTGGACACTCAAGGAATTTGCCTCCAGTGCAGAAGGTCTCAAATGTACATTAAAACAACAACATGATATAATCATAAGATACCAATAAGAGAAGATATAGGAAAGATGAGAAGGATAAGCATCAACCTATAATTTTTGTAATAAAAAAGTAAATAGAATATTCATCTTGCTTTGTCATTAAAATCAGGGAGAGAAAACTAATAGTAACACAGGAGATAAAAGAAATTTACTAAAAGGAATTTTAGAAGTGTGTGATAGGCATGGAATTTTCCAGAAAATGTAAAATAATAGTATAAAATCCTTCAAAATAAAAGGGATAAAGAAAGGCTTAATTTTATGTAAAGTTAATTTGTCATATTTATCTTAACTAAAGGTATTTTATGTCAAATAAAACATGTGGAAGGGAAAAGAAGGTATATTGCAGAAACCATATATGTTCATGTTCAATGTATCTCTGTGTAATTACTGTGTCAATGAATATAGTGAAATGACCCAATATACAATATTTTAATTTGTCCTGTAGAAATTAACGATGGAATTAAGTTGCGTAAGAGAAAGGAGGTCATAGAGTGACAGCTAAATTAAAAATAAGAATCCTCTGTTCCTCGAGATATTGAGGAACTATTCTGTTCAGACTACCTTACTAAGACAGGATGATTGATAAAATTAAGAGGTCTTAGTTTCCCAGTCTTGCATTGCTGCTATAACTGAAACTTAAAAAAAAAAAAATCCTAGGAGTCACCAGGACCCATGCACACATTATTCTAGTTTATCTCTTTTTAAAATCCCATTCAAGTATCAGAAACTGGCTTTGGATCTGATCTGTAATAATTTATACCACTTTAAATTATTTGCTTTTACAGCATTTGGTGGCATGGTATGCTATACTTTAATTTTAATCAATATTTTATACATCAGTTCTGAAAATGTATGCATGAATGTTTCCATTATAAAGACTTTGGTATCAACAGAACTATGGTACAATGGAGAATGTGTAAGCATGGTACATTAATGGATTTATAATCCCTACAATTTACTTTTTAAAATAATCAGGTTACCCCATGACCATCTGTGTACTAATCAGTAGTGGTCCCTAGGTGGCATGGTTTGGGATAATTAGTCAAATATTTCTGTGTTGGGTTGTAGATTAATGTTTTACAAACCTTTGGGTGGCACTGTGGTTTAGGAATTGCATTATTTTGAATTATACATCTTGCTTTTCTCTTTAGTTAAACTGATGTTTAACAGTTGAATGCGTATCTTTTTGGAAATAAGGCTTGAGTGACTTGCCACGTCATAACAATTGTCTATTTAACATAAAATCCTGTGTATTGATGGATATCTCAGACAGATTCATTGCAGAAAATTATGATAATTGCCATCTCTTATTGATAATTTCTAGTCTATGGCATTAAGAAACATGTCTAACAAACAAAATGTTACTGTTAGCTTTATAGTAGTGTACTGGTATATTTACCTTCCATGTTTCATCTATAATGGAGAATATCCATGTGTATAAGCCACAATTGCAGCATCCCATTATAATTTTGCTTTTTTAGCAGTGATCATAGTTTCTTCGCAAATACCGTGTTTCTCATATAATAAGGCCAGGTCTTATTTTTTTTTTGAGCCCCGAAAAAATGGCTAGGCCGTCTTTTCAGGGATGACTTAATTTCCCCCCCCAATTGCATCTTCGGGCGGGCGGGCGGGAATGGCTTGGATGTTGATCTCGGCGTTGGTGGGGCACTTCGTATCGGGGTCAACGCAGGCAGCTGCATATCCGGGTGTGCAACAAAAGTACTTCCTAACGGCAAGCCCCCCCACCATTCCCCCCATTTCACATGTTTTAATATAGGCCTTAATTTGGGGGGAGGGGCTTAATTTCATTTCATGCCTATAAAACATGCTGGGACTTCCTATTGGGGGAGGCCATATTGTTGGAGAAACAGGGTATATAGACCTTAAATATCTTACATTGTGATTGCAATTGGTGTGTCATGTGTTGAGACTACCCAGTGATTTTTTTTCAAAATAAAAGTCTCTACCTTAAATTCATCTTCTGTACTAAGTTCAGCTAACAAATTATATATGCCTTCTTCCACCGGGCTTGCCATAAGAATTGATAGTGTTTAATCTTTCAATTTGTTTTTTTTAAAAGAACTTTAGAGCTGAAGTTCCTACTGTACAAAAAGGGCAGATATTGTGAAAGCAATGTTGATGATAATGTTTTATTATTTTCTTTGCAGCCATACCCTGAGTTAAGGGTATGGCTAGAATAGGAAAAATGCTATCTGTGAAATGATTTTACTGTTTCTATAGTAGTGCAATTAGTATTATAGAACATAATGGTAATTAAGATAAGCTCGAGATGAAGATGACAATATGCACCAATTTTCTTTGGCAATGTACTCTATGCCTTTGTATACTATTTCCTTGCATATGTTCTTAGTGTAAATTCCTCAATTCCTCAAATAATTCAAATCTTTCTTATGCATTCTTTTGTCAATCCTTTTAAACCTACTTTTTCATGCATTTTTTAAAAACCAACAAAATACATAATTATACTGGATCTTTATCACAACATAATTAGATTAGCAGATCTGCTGTCACAAGACTCTGTGGAAAGTTTCATAAAGGAAATACACTGACAGTCTGAAATCCAGGGTGATTGATATACTATTGTACCACCAAATGTTAATAGAAGTTCCAGTGATTGTTTTTCCATGCTAGATCATATTTAGGCATCCCACTTATCTGGTAAAGAATAACCTTTGTTATTATTTGCATGTGAAATAGATAAGAATTCATGGGAGGTTAGACTTGGATCTCTTGTGACTGCACAATTACTCCAACCGATGACACATTTAACCCCACCTTCCAGCTCAGCCCACTCAGTTCCTAGAGGTTCCAAGTTACAATGGTGCTGATAAAATGGAATTACAACCTGTGCCTGAAATTATAATTGTTTCATTACCCATGTGATCAATGTGTCAGTCCACTCCCAAGGTTGCTTTAGCTCTCCCAGCATCTATGCCACTTTGACCTCATGCCACCCAATTTTGCAGTTTTATTTTAATTAATTAATTAATTCTAAGTATCAAAAGCATTGGAAGCATTAATCAGATTTAATGGATATTCAAGGTATTTACTATTTTCTTTTGCTCTCGTTAAGCACTACAAGATGCCTATATGTCATCTTTGTTGTGGGGTAATTGTAAGTTATTCTGGGTGAGTCCTGAGAAAAATTATATGCAAAAGACAGATTGCAGTGTGAGGAATTTCATAATTTTTGAAGAAATTAAAAGAGAATTAAGAGCACAAATGAGAATTTAATACCTCTTGAATTACCAAAATTAATTCAGATTGGAGAACTTTTAGCGAAAGTACATAAACTTTCAACTTCAAGCAGTAAAGGACCAGGAAAAGTATCAATCAATATGAACAAACAGAGGAAAATAATGAAAAGAAAACCTGGGAGTTCCAAAGAAAATGAAAGTAATTACAGGAAAATGTATAAGTAAAGCAGGAATACTTAAGCATATCCAGAGAAGAGATTAAACAGAGCAAATGAGGTGTAGGAAAAGTGAAAAGTATACATTAAAACCTCTTACAAATAAGATTATAGAGGGACAAAAATGTTTTCCTATAAAAGATATGATCAGGAAGCTTTGCCAATAAAAGGGAGTGCCAGTGAATAGTAGATCAAGGGCCCTTACAAAGAATACAGTCATAAGCAGAAGGAAAATGCTAATTGAATCAGGTTTCATAAGAGACAAAGAGACATGATACTAATTTAGCTAACATGAAATAGGCTATGGAGAAAGGAGTATATAAGCAATAAGGTGTATTTTTCTTCTATTGACTATAGCAAAACTGCTTGAGCCTATCATGCCAATAGACAGAATCTATAAAATTTATTGTGTATATCAGAACCCATGATTATTCCTCTGAAGAATCTTTT